TCTAATATTCCTCGCTCAAAATTCCAAACCAGTTCGAGATCAAAGCTGTGGAAAGTCAACAAGATCATCTATCTCCAAAACCAGATTTGCGTTCTTAAACTCTACTCTGTCTGGTTTTTACTTTGCTATACTTGTCATGTTTATTTGTTGTTTGTTTGCTTGTTTTTGTGTGAGTTTATGCTTGAAACATTGAGGACAATGTTTGATTTAAGTGTGGGGGGATAACCAAGTTGTTTTATATGAAATTCGTAAGAGTTTATCACCCATTACTTCTAGTGTTGTTCCTTGTTGTTTTTAAGTGTTTTTAAGCTGTTTGGAGTGTTTCAGTGTGTTTTGACATAAAAATTCGAAAATCTCATAAAAATTTGAAAAATTGTTTTGAAAAACCTAAAAGAAGTTGTTTTTATGTGTTTGTTTGTGTCTTAGGGTACCTTCCAACACAATGATGAGGATTTGATTTTTAATTACATGACTGTTAAAGAGAGTTATAAACATGGATGAAAATTTGATTTACTCTTTGGTGTATGCTTGGTTGTGGTTATAATTTATAAATTCACATGCAATCATAAAGGAAAATTCAGTTTTTGTAACATGCTTGAAGGAAGGAACTCAAATGAACGCTACAACCTTGTGAGACTTAAGCCTAAAACGTTTATTTGGAGAGTTAATAATCTATACACCATTGTGTTCTAAAGTCATTGCATGATCTCATTATTCTATGCTTGGTTGCTACTTAGAAGGCGTTTCATCATTTAGTTCCAAATGCTAGAACTCATGCCTATTTCATTCAAAGCATGCTATTGATTTGCATAACACATATTCAAGATGAAGTTGTGTAGTGACCACCAAAGCCAAATTGCCGTGCCCCTATTTCATTATGTGTTTAAGTTTAACCCCGTTGAGCCTTGTTAAGCCTGTGTTCTTTGTTAACCCACGCTATCCTTACCTAGCCTAGTTTGAGGACCATCCATACCCTTGTTCTTGAAGCATAGTAAAACATGACTTAAAATGAACTCCTTTTTTATCAATGTATTGCAGAAAGCAAGTGTGGGGGAAGTGATTCTTGTGTGTGTGTGTGCCGAAGTCCTTAATAAGGCACGGGTAGAAAAGAAAAAAAAAAGAGTCAAAAGAAAAATAGAATTGAAAAGAGTATAAAAAAGAGCTCTATAGTGTTGTTTGTTAAAAAAGGGTCCAAAACATTGAATTTGGCCCTAAGTGTTGCATGAATCTTCCCTTTGAATTTAAAAGTTGATTCTGCATTCTAAAGTGATTTCCAAGTGTCTATTTCATTGCTTTGCTTGCTATCGCTTTAAGAACGTTTGTTATCCCTATCATTTCTTTGTTAGCCATTACCCCCAAGCCCTGTTACAACCCTTGATTTCAATCTTGAGTGTTGTATGTTTCAATTTGTGGAGTTCGAAATTGGTATGAGCTTATGGTCTCACTGGTTCTCGCATCTAAGTAGTAGCATTTCATTCATGAGATCATATCTAAACATGCTTAATAACTCCAGAAAATTGCTTTCTTTGTTATAACATATGAGAGTCATTTCACCTCCTTACACTCATTGATTCACCACTTACTTACCTTTCCACCCATGCCATGCATAATCACCTTTGTCCCCTTCATGCACCAGATTTCTTGCATTCATTTCATGCACCATTACACTTATTACACTTCATTGCTGTGCACCACCCTTGTCTCCTTTATTATTTCTGATTTTATGCATCAATACAATGAATCATTACACTCAATTGTTGCACACTCCTTGTTCCCTTCACCTATCAGATTTCATACAACGTTTACCTCTACTACATGCACTAATTGATGCACCATCCACCACTTTTGGAATCCCATGTCGTGCATCATGACATTTGCTGCACCTTTGACTCATTTCTGCACCATTCCACCTCACTTTCCTTTCTATACCATGTGCACAATCATTCTTATTCCCTAGCTGCAACACCACTCCATTTTACCCCCAATGCTTTGCATCATCACTTCACTTTCACCTTTGAATCATTTCAACACCACTCCTTGCACTCATTGCTGCAACACCACTCCATTTTACCCCTTATGCTTTGCATCATTACTTCATTTTCACCCTTGAATCATTGCACACACCACCAATTCACCTTCCTTGCCGTGCACTTCCTCTATAAAAGGAAGTGTGTGTGGCAGCCATAGAGTTTAGTTTTTGCTTGATCATTCATCCCCATTTCAATACAACCTTTACCCAAACACATCCATTCATCTTCACATCCATTCCTCCATACAAACAAACCTTCAAACACTCACCAACACCTTGTGCCGTAGCAAAGGAAGGGAAGGAAAGTGCTTGGATGTGCTTGCTGTCCAACTTGGATCGTTGGAGCGTTTAGGTGTTTTCTTTCTTTTGTTGTAAATATGAGTGGCTAAACCCCTCTTGGCTAGGGATGATTTCAAAGCCATGATTATGTGTGCAATATAATTTGATAAATTCCAGTTATGAACTCTTGAATCGTGAATGCAATTGGCTTAACTATTTGATTGATAACTTATTTGTATTTGTTAATTAAGGGTCGACACTTAATTGGCATGCATAAATCCGTTGCTAGAATATAAGGAAGTTTCACATAATCGTTACAAACTTATATTCACATGTAGTGAAGGTCACTTATAAACGATCGCGTTAAGTTCAGTTCCTAGCATAAGCGACATGATGTCATAGTTGCAAGTGCTTTGTCAATGCTTATGATTTTCATTAAACGTAATGATCTTTGATTGTATCTCTATTATGATGTCATGTAGGGAACTTTTGAAGAATGTTTTGGGTTGTCGAATGATGTCATCCAATCCAATAAAACAAGGAAAATTTGAGAGTTAACTAGTGATGTCACGGTTAATTTGGAGCATTGTCGTTTATAATTCAATGAAGTAGTAACTGGAAATCAAGTTATTTGCATACATGTCATGTGTGGAGAAAAAGCCTCTAGCTATCCCATCCATCATCTTATTTCTCAAATTTATTTTACAATCTGTCTAGTTTTTCATACTTATTTGTTTGTTTCAACTTCATCCAAATCAAAACCCCCTTTTTAGTTTCTTGTTTCAAAGTGTTTCAAATCTGTTTTAGCTTGTGTTTTTAAGTGTTTTGATTCAAGTGAAAGTCAATTTTCGTCCAAAGTCATTCCTAGTGTCTAGTTTAAGTTTATTTGGTTGTTTCAAGCTGTTTTGAGTATTTTAAGTTTGCTTTGAGTCTTATGAGTCTTGTTAAGTGTTTTTAAGTTTAGTTTTATGTTTTTGAGTCAGTTTAGAGGTTATTAGCAAGCCATCCTAATCCCCGGTCCAGAACGATCCCTACTTATACTTATACTACAATTGTCAAAAGAAGGTTAAATTTGTGTGTTAAGTTAATTTTCGCATCACACATCATAATAGGGATACAATCAAAGATCATTAAACTCTATGAAAATCATAAGCATTAACAAAGCATTTGTAACTATGACATCATGATACTCATGCCAGGAATTTAACTTAACGCGATCGTGAATATAAGTTTGTAACGGTTATGTGAAACTCCCTTATATTCTAGCATCAAATTCATGCATGCAAACTAAGTATGCATCCTTAATCCAAAAACAAGAATAAGTTTTGAATAAAACAGTTAAGCAAATTGCATTCTCAATTTATGAAATCACAACTTGAAGTAATCAATTCATATTGCAAATATGTTCATGGCTTTGAATTTTCCCCTAGCTAAAATGAGTTTAGCTCCAAATGTTTGTAAAACAAAGATAAATAAACTTAAACATTGAAAACAAAAGATAGATTACACCTAAGAATGATCTAGCTATCCAAACTTGAATAACAAGCACTCCAAGGGTCTTCATCCTTCTTCTTTGCTGCGACACAAGGTATGGGTGAAGGTTTGAGTGATGAATTGTGGTGGTGGATGGATGTAGGTGATTTATGGTGAAGGATGGACTGATATTGTGGTGATCAGAACCCCCTAAGTGATGTGGCAAAGGGTTTTATTTATAGGGATGGGAAAGGCATGACCTGATTTAATTTGGAGATGGATTTGTACACCAAATCCACAAGGAAAAAGGAAAATAAATGTCAGAATCCATCAAGAAAGGGAATGTGAGGTGCGGCACAACTTTAAGAAAAGAGGAAGGAAGATATGTGGCAGATTTTGGAGAGAAAGGGAAAGGGAGTTGCGGCAAGGGAATGGAGAAAAGGGGAAAGTCTTCCAAGGTAAGGAAGAGGGTAAGAAAGGTGTGGCACCCTCTTTGACTGGGAGTAGGTCTTCTAAAACATTTATTTAAGTGCCCTAAAATAATTAAAGATCCTCCTTGCAGCTGGAAATTAGGTGGTGAAGGATTAGGAAAGGTTAGGACCAAATAAGGTAACTTGGCTAACATTCCTTCTTTATTGCTGCATCATTTACTTCATTTTCTTGAATTAATTTCTTCATAATTTCAGCATAATCCTAGCCTCTTTTGATCTTCAAATTTGTCCATCCACCTTGCTCCATGCATGTGATATTCATTCCAAGCCCAAAACTGCTCCAAAATGCTCCAAAAGGCACTTTCTTGCTACTTTAGCCATTTGGACCTACAAACACACGAAAATAGCTTAAAATACTAAAATAACTAGGAACTAACAAAATAAATGCACGAAAACAAGCTAACTAAGTCGCATAAATATGCTCCTATCATATGTTGCAACTGGCACATACCTCAGCTATCTTTGGCACCATATTGAGCACAGAAGCAAGCTTCTTTTCCAAACTAGCCACCTGCAATGTAAGATCATTATTAGAACTCATTTCATACACTTCAGCTCATTTACCTTTTGTATATTTGTGTTGAGCATTAGATCCCAACATCTCATAGATGTTATATGACTCTTGAGCATTCTTCTTTTTCAAAGCCCCACCTGCTGCATTATCAACAGTTGATTGACATGTTTGGGTTAATCCATCATAAAAAATTTGCATTTGTAAGTAAGGAGGTAACCCTGATGTGGACATTGCAACAAAAGGCCTTTAAAGCGCTCCCAACATTCATTGAAATGCTCTCCATCATCTTGCTTAAAGTTAAAGATTTGCCCTCTCAAAGTGGCTGTCTTTTGAGTAGAAAAAAGCTTCTTTAAAAATTTCTTAGCTATGGCATCCCAAGTGGTGAGCGAACCAAGTGCTAAAGTCATTAGCCAACCCTTAGCCTTATCTTTCAATGTGTAAGGAAAGACCCTAATCCTCAGATTTACTTCATTCACTCACTGCAAAGGTAAAACACTCATAACATTATAGAATTCTTTAATATGGGCTAACGAATCTTTGTGCAACAAGCCCTTAAACCTCTAGGTGTCCCTAGTAGGAGGAGTTGCGTCTCCTGAGGGTTTACAACGATTACGCCCACAAACATCTGCAAACTCGACAAATAAATTGGTTAAAGCATACTTGAAACAAACTAATAAAAACCAATGAAAGCTTAGTCATACATTCAAACCAAAAGTTTGCCACTTCAAAGAATCATATCATGTGTGTAGTGTAAAAGTATTGCTCCATGACTCATGACTTCAAAAGCACCATACTCAAAGACTGAAGATAGAATTCACCTCAACTCTAATTCTCACAGATTGTCACTCAAATTTTCACTCAGATCCTAAGGTGTAGTATTTCGACAAACATTTGCGAGTCTATGTAAAAGGGAATCAAAATTCTCAGATATGAAATATGAAATAAAAGCACAATTTTCTGAACAAATCTCATGAAAGGAATCAAATACTAAGAATATGGATAACACACATACTTACCAGTGCCTTGAATACAACCCCAAAGATCAGCTAGGTCTTTCACAAGGTTGTAATGTAAGGCTTAGGCTATGGGCTATGAAAGAAAGGATAGGAAATACTAGAGCTTGAGACATACCAAAGTGACTTTGGTATGAAATAATAGGTTTTTCACTTGAATTAATCTTTGTTATTTGTTCTTGGCGTCCAGGACACACGTGCGATAGTGAAGGATTTGGAAATTGCATCTTCTTTATTCATTTTTTCTTTTTTTTATTTCTCTTTTTATTTTGCAATTCCAGCATTTGTTACCTCGGTACACGCCACATTCTTAATCTAGAGCTCAAGGTCTTCATCACTTTGGTATTCTCCAAACTATAAGGTATGTCTGTAATGGGCTAAGATGAGTAGAGTTTGGTGTAGGTGATGAAAGAATCAGGTTAAAAGTGTTTGGTTGCAAAAAGATGAATGGAACGCACAAAGGGTTGAGAATAAAGCCATTTGGTGGTTAAAACATGCATAGCCTAACATCGTCTCAATAGGTTCATTCATAAGTGATAACAAGCACATGGTATCTCCAACATAGAATTATTCTTAGCATTCAATCAACAAGAAATAATGAGATCATTTAAAGTGAATTTGAAAAGGATAGGAGGAGAAACACTTTAAACCCTCTCAAAGAAGCAAATAGGCTTAAAATAACTCACTAGGGTAGTCTCCACTATTCTTCTTCCAGAATTTGAGCATGATACTTTTACCATCATAATTCAAGGGTAATAACTTTGTGAACTACAAAAATTATGATATGGAACTTTTCATGATAGCACCATAGTCAGATTGTATACACAACCATCATATACATTCACATTAGTAAGCAAAAGAAAACTTAACCAAAACTAAAAACAAACGAAAATTTTCCACACCCCCAAACCTAAACTAAGCTTTGTCTTTGATGATTAAAAATGAATGGAATGCATGCAATGCAGGAAGGCAGAGTAAGCATGGAATGAAATAAAACAAAAACTAAAAGACACAAAATAAAAGGAAAGAACACAAACCCAGCTAGGTTGCCTCCTAGCAAGCGCTTTATTTAATGTGTAGGCAAGACATGGTACCATGATAAATGAACGCCTAGGGTGGCAGGAAGTTAAGTACCTCCGAACCTTGGTTAGAAGAAGTGGTTTCTTTCAAGGGACTTTGAGTATAGTGTGTTGAATTTCCACAAGGACTTGATTGTGAAGGCGTTTTTGTCTCTCCTTGTGAATAAACTGCAAGACCATCTCTTCCTTTGTTTGAGATGGCAGCAAGGTTTCGTTATCGAACTTCAATTCTTTTCCCTTTTGAAATGGCAGCAAATCATCTTCCAAAGACTCCAAATATGGCACCTAAAAAGATGTAAAACAACATGGAGAATTTGGCACAGATTTTGAAAAACATTCAATTAAATTAGAGGATAGAGGAAGAGCTTCAAACACTATGTTCGGTACAGTTTCACCAAGCACATTTATGGGTGACTCATCATGCTTTTGTTTGACAAAGAAATTGGTGGAACATATGGCTTGGGAGGAATGTAAGGCTCTTCATCTTTGTAAGGCTCAGGAACCTCATGAAAATATGCACAGCAAGCTTCCTTTGGTTGTTCCTCATTCTCTTCTTGATCATCACCACCTGATTGATGTCCATTTATAGCTTGGACAATCTGACCCACTTGAATTTCCAACTTAGTGCTAAAAAGTGGTTCTGAATAATGCTACTCGTTGATTGTTGAAATTGCAAATTGTTTTGAGTGAGTAGCTTCAAAGTTTCCTCCAATGTAGTGTCAAAGGATTCTTGCTGTGGTGGAGGTGCAAATGCTTGATTTGGAGCTTGTATGTTGTTCCAAGATTCATAATAAGAGTTTCTCCAAGCGGGGTATGTATTTGGCAATGGTTGTAGTGGCCCTTGGTTAGAGAAACACATGTGGTGTGAGTGCTCTCGAACAAAGGTAGGAAACTCATCTCTCCTTGGGCAGAATTGAAGAGGATGGACAGTTTTGGCACATAACGGACATTCGTCGTACATCTCTCTATACCACCTGAAATCAAACAACCTAAAATATAAAATAAAAAAAATTGTATATGAAAAATCTAAACTAAGAAAATAGAAACAGATAGGGTTTATAAAGCAAGCAATTATAGGGGACTGAAATTGGTCCCCGACAACGGCGCCAAAATTTTGTTGTGTTCCTTCCTAGTGCAAAAATATGGTTAGTATAATGGCACAAGTAAGGGTGTCAAACCACAGGGACTGATTGGACCTCTATAAATTACTAACTTTGAAAGAACCCTAACTAAAGATTGAAAGTAACCAATTGAGAGTAGTTTTTGTGTTGCAAACTTAAATAACTTAAAATGAATGAAATAGGAAGTAGATTGATAAACTGAATACTTTAACTTAAAAACATGGATCAATTTTGCAAGGCTACATCGAAATCCCTAGCTATGAACTTAGTTGCTCATCATGTTCACATAAATTAAAACGAAAATACACAACATAAGTGAAAATAAATTCAGGAGAGAAGACACCCTTGAAGCAATTCTGATGTTGAACTTCTCCAAGAACAGCCTGTCAGGATGAGTCTTTGGTGATGTTGGAGTGTCTAAAATGGGTGGAGTTTTAAGTGTGGATGATAAGAGAGAAAAAATAGTTACTGGAGTTGTGAAATACACTCAGAAGTCTGTGAAAGGCTAGGTTTTATAATGTTAAAGAGCTGTTACAGATTGCCAATACATCCCAGTAATTGGGCATTTAATTCCCACGTTTTTTTGTTGTTATTGGTCTTATAAAGAGCCATATTCATCACCATATTCAGTTTCCACTTTTAATTCTTTGTCTACATCAACAGCCTTATTCAATTCTCCACTTTAAGCAATTTTTCCTTATTTGTCCTCAACTGAGCACCAAAATACGATTAGCTGCACACTAACACAAAAGAGGGTAAAATGCAACTAGTTTAACTCAAAAATATCATAAAGGGACTAGGAATGGATGGTATAAATGTATGAAATATATGAGTTATCAATCTTCGTTAGGTAAACCATAAAAAGAAGGAAGCATGTGAAAATGTGAAGATTTGAGATCATAGTTTCTACCTTCAGGAGGCAGTAAGATGCATGAAGGTGAATTTGGTATAATCGGTTGAGCATAATCCTCCAAAGCTCGATTGTCATCATTATTGTCAACCATCTTTTCTTCTCCGTTCGAATTAGAGTGCTCAAAATAAGCACCTACACTCACTGATCTAGAAGAACTATCGTCCTCTTCTTCATGGTTAATTAGAGCACTAGTTGATACAAAATTCTCAAAGGTGTTTACCTTTAACAGTTCAAGTCTTGGCCTATCTCAGCAAGTTTATCTGACATATACTACCTGAGAAAAAAAAACCGAATTTAGGAATAAACTTTAAACAAAAACAAACAATTATAAGGGACTGAGATCAGTTCCCGGCAATGGTGCCATAATTTTGTTGTGTTCCTTCCTAGTGCAAAAATATGGTTAGTATAATGACACAAGTAAGGGTGTTGAACCACAGGGACCGAGTGGTCCTCTATAAATTGCTAACTTTGAAAGAACCCTAACTAAAGAATGAAAGTAACCAATTGAGACTAGTTTTTGTGCTGTAAACTTAATTAAATTAAAATGCAAGAATGTAGTAGCGAATAATATATTGATGTAGAAGCAAGGGAGATGAGGCCAGGGATTCAAATTCACCATTACAAAACCAATTCCATGTTTATAAAGTTATGTCGTATTCAACTACCAACTTGTTCCTTGAGTTCGTTTTACATATATATGATCAGCCATATGATGTGTGGCTTTGATCAAATTCTCCTAATCTGCAACCTAATTGGGATGTTCAACTTCGGTTCCTAATTAAGAGTCTTTAGCATGCAGAAAACGTTAAAGAACCAAAGAAAATACATGGCAAGATGTTTGCGTAGCATTCTCTTCATTCATTCACATGTCTACCAAAATTAAGCATGATGTTTACTATAATCTTGATTAAATGATATGTAGTTAACACTAATGGGGATCAAACATTAAAATCAACAAACAAATTTAACAATAGATTCAGTGAATGAAACAAGAAGCAGATTGATGAACTGAATACTTCAACTTAAAAACATGGATCAATTTTGCAAGGCTACATCGAAATCCCTAGCTATGAACTTAGTTACACATCATGTTCACAAAAATTAAAACGAAAATACGTAACATGAGTGAAAATAAATTTAGGAGAGGAAACCTTTGAAGCAATTCTGATGTAGAACTTCTCCAGGAACAGCCTTCTGCAATGAGTCTTCAGTAGTAATGAAACTGTCTGGAACGGCTAAGGTTTTTTTAAGAGTGAATGAAAAGAGAGGAAAAATAGGTAATCCGAATTGTGTAATTCGCCAAGAATAAAAATGGCATGTAAAAGTGGCTAAAAGGCAAGTGTTTATGGGGTAAAAAAGGTTGGAAGATATTCCAAAGTGATCCCAGCAACTTAGCCTTTATTTTGCACATTTTTGCCTTGTTTGGCACTTCCAAATAGTCTAGATATCCCAATTCCTTTCCTATTCTGGTCCTGATCTTCTAACAAGCCAGATTCATCTTGGATTCTTTATTTGGACTTCAAAACAAGTAACAACTTTATTTGGGCTCCAAAACAAGCCACTAAACTTCTCTCCACATTTGAATAAGGATCAGCTCCAAAAAGGGCATGTTTTCACTTCTTTTTCCTTCAAATTGATCCTAAGGTACATGTAACTACACACTAACACAAAATAGGGTAAAATGCAACTAGTTTAACTCAAAAACATCACAAAGAGACTAGAAAGGGATGGTATAAATGCATGAAATATATGAGTTATCATTTTTGTCAGAAAGAGAGCAAGAACTGAGGGTTGTATTCGCAGGAGAAGAGAGGCAGAGAGAGGGAGTTGGTGAAGGGTGTGAGTGCTCATTTTCGGGTGGATTGAAGCTCAGTTTCAATTGTGACCTGGTAATCCTATACATTCAATTTGTTTTAGTTTACTGGGTGTGTTTTTGTCAGATAGAGAGGGAAAAATGAGAGTTATATACACTGGGAAAAAGAGGCAGAGAATGGGAGTTGGTGAAGGGTGTGAATGCTCAATTTTAGGTGGATTGAAGCTCAGCTTGGATTGGAGTTTGACTAGGGTGGTTCATTCACAACCTCTAAAGAAATCTAGATTGTGAAGGTCAATTTTGTGTTGTGTTAATCTTCTGTTCCATTTTGGATCTGAAAACCAACTTGAGGTACTTGTGTAAGATATTTATAATTCTTGGATTTGAATCCATAATGGTGGGTGGTTACCATTGAACTTGGTTAAAATCTTGAAATTCGATTATATATATATAGGTTTAAAACTTGTGCTGAATTGTGATAAATTGTGTTGTAGTTATGTAGATTTGTAGCAGGTAGTTACTGAACTGTAATTCGATGGGAGATGAGTTTCCTTTCCAGCACGTAGTATGTTTCCTTTCAAAGCTATTTTCGTCGACACTACTGTCCGACCATATTCTTGCAACAAGTTTTCCATGCTTGAAGGCAATACACGTCCTCGAAAATTGCAAGGAAGACATGGAATTTTTCAACACTTGGCTTGAGAAAGGAATCATTGATCGATTGAGTGTACGACCTCTTGCTGTAACTTGTCTTCACTTTATGTTATACATAAATACGCTTCTTATATTCTGTTTTTCTCTGAATTGGTTATTCATGTGACGACTAAGCTAAATGGCTTGTTTTTCAAGATTCCAATTCATCTCTCTCTCTCTCTCTCTCTCTCTTGCATCCAATCAGCGGGATGTTGCTGAGGACTTCGTGCAGTTGACTTGTACTGAAGCAGTTGCGTTCAGAATTCTTCCCTAAACTAATATTTCGTTAATATATCCCTGAATTTAACGTACCTTTACTATAGGACAAATTTTAAACTCGAGTGAAGTTCACGAACAATTTTTTTAATTGTACTGAAAAAACCAATACTATATTTAGCAGAATATCCAGCCTCGGCTTTAGATGTTAATTCAACGTGGTAGAGTAATAAACATAGGAATCCACAGCCAAAGAACAAAACTTGAAATTTTATTCTCTCAATTCAATACACTATTCTTTCCCTTCATAAGATCTGTAGACCCTTTTATCTATTTCAAGGAACGATTTCTGTATTTAAACAAATGAACAAATGATCTGTACACTGTCGCCCATGCAGGCTTTTGTTAAAGGGAACCGGAAAAATGAAAACAAGACGAGCTCCTCCTAAGCCGTAAATGGCGGTGACTCCCGGGCATCTAAATATAATATTGGCTCGTGAGTAAAGAACCTGCGCCAATTAGATCTGAACATACATGGTAAGATGGGGAGTGGGAACTTTGAGAAAGAAAAATAATTGTTCGATGAACTTACTTCCGGCACTACCACGAGTTTGGCTTTCTGAGAGATGTAGGATCAGAAGGAACCTTCCAAGTATTTGTATTGATCGCTAGGAGCAAAACTTGATATTTACATCTTCATTACTTCGGCTCAAAGTTCCACTTCATGAAGGTCATCACCAAAACTGCCTCCATTCATTGGGGTGCGTGTCCGGGAAAGCTCACTCGGCCTAAACATTGCCGGGGACATGCCTAACGCCTCCCCTAGAGGTTTTATCTCACCCGTTTCCATAGGAGGGCTTAATACATCATTGGAGCTTCCACCCCATGAGGCCGTCCTTCGTGAGTGGGGTGGAGCAGAGCCATTGGAAGTTGTGGCAACTCCCATACTTTGAATGTTACCCATGCTTGGGTACCTTTGCATGGTATTTGATGATGACGATGAAGGCGGAGGAGTATGGAATGAATCATTATTACCAAATGTTGAAGGATTTTCATTAGTTGCACCACCATCTTCTTGTACACTTTCAGCAATAGCCTCCATTGCCTGTTCATTTGATGGTGCTACGGTGGGAATAAAAAACTTTGCGTTGGCAGCAACAAGAGGCTTAACGGATGGAACAGCAGGTGACTCGAACGAGTTTACTGGGCTTCCACCACCTTGGTTGAATGTGTCGACATATCTGCCAAAATTCCATGAAAAATATACTCAACTCAGATTCATTCCCTCTTTGTCCCTAGCACTAAAGTCTGGTGGTAGTCCTCTCCACTTGTAAGTGGAAGGTCTTAGATTCAACTCCCTTGGATAGTGAGTTTGATACAAAATTATGGCCGTCACATTCATTCCCTCATTGATTACTGGCAAATTTTGGTAAAAGGGCATTTGAATCTCAAGGACAATTACTTCCAATTATTAACGAAATTTAAGCGTTTGTGAAATACTGCAAAAACTTTTCAGAACCTATTGGAATAGAATGATTTAAAACTGACACGAAAGAGAGGTGGTTGGGGTCGGGAGAGAGAGCAATTGAGAATATATTGTACCTGGATCGAATACCCAACCGTCCACGGGATGAGAATTGATTTGAGCTAGGTGGAATAGGTGGGGTCCCTGAAGTTGGTCCTGGAGGGGTTGAAGTTTGTAAATCTGGGCTGCCCTTAGTGGGAGACCCTTCTTTCTTCAAAACAGATCTCAAGTTGTAATCAGAGACACCATTCTGAAAGGGTGTACATGTCGGGGGAGGAGGCAACACGGTATCTTCAGCTAGAGGTTCAACACCTTCCTCAACCCATCTTTTAAGTTTTTCGTCATAGTAGAACTTGTTTGTTTCACCCAACTTAGCCTTCAGTAGCAAGTAGAAAATTCATTAGATAAGGTTTACCGTAAGAAAGAATAGATGTAGTTCTTTCACAGAAAGAAAAAAGGAGAGGGGATTGAAGGAAAGCCCAATATATATATATATATATATATATATATATGAAAGTATAAACTACCTGTTTTCCTGGGCGGGGTCTTAATACTAAACCAACAGTCTTTTGCAAGAGCTGTGACCCGAAACCAAAACGAGAAAAGCGAGAACCCCCTGAGGATTTTCCTTGGGCATCAGGTGAGGCCGTTTGCTTTGATGAATCAACCTGATCCCATAATGAGTTAAGATGGCGCAAAGAGGTGATTAAGTGCAAATATACGGTGTTGAATTGTGCTGATTCAGTAAGTGCATGCATGTTGAAATTTGAAATTTACACGTTTGGGAAATTTGACACACCTGTCTTGGAGTTCTGCCAAAATCTGGCTCTGAAACACTTCTATTATGCATTGGCTTTCGGTTGCCATCAGATGTCCAGTCACTTATGGGTTCCATTGAAGCAGAAGGAATTAATGATGACATGGCCATTGTTGATTGACTACTAGAAACTCTAGGGCCCATGGGCTGTTGGTAATGGTCATTACCGTGAGCACTTCCTTGGGATGTGGACGGTGCAGGTGGTGGTAGGCCCCCAACAACACGATGTGCAGTACTATCAAACAAGTTGAGCAATTTACCTACAAACTTTGTAGAAACTAAATTTACAGAGTATCCCCCCTGCAATTGGAATGTGCATTCAGAAGGATTAGTCGTATTAGCTTAAAACGATGAACATACAAACAATAGGACAAAAACATACATACAATAGGACAAAGAAGTACCTGCTGATGGGTTTTAATCCTCTCCTCAAGAGATAATACTAGTTGCTTCCACGTTTCCACTTCAGGTGCTCTACCAGTTTTCAAAGACTTTAGTATTGTTTGACAGTACCTGAATTAGATACAATTTGTTAAGAGAACACAAGTGAAAGAAACTACCAAACAAAAGATTATTGCACGTGCTTACTTCAACGAGTCAGAAACTCTTCCAACTTCAGCAAGCATGTGTGCATATATGAGCTTATATGGCTGAAATGGTAGAAGGATGAACTGAGAGTTCCCAAGCACCCTTGAATATTCATAGAGTTCAGTCCTCTGTCAATACAACATAAGGAAAACTGAGTATAAGCTCCAGAAAGCATTACTTAAAAGTAGCTGATAAAGCTACCATATAAAATACAACATAAGGAAAACTGAGTATAAGCTCCAGAAAGCATTACTTAAAAGTAGCTGATAAAGCTACCATATAAAGTTACTGGGCTCCAGATTTGCACTGCTGCACTAAAAACATGCATTCTGCAAGGCACGACTCAGGAGCCAAATAGTAACTAGCACTAGAAGTTTCTGAAAAGTAAAAATAAAATCAAGAGACAGAACATTAAGAATAACAGCATTTAGAAAGCACCTGAATGGCCTCTGGATTAGCATAAGTTCGAGGCGACTTCCAGTGATCTGCTCCAATTAGACATAGCCTTGCACTATCCGAGTATGACTCAAAATTTGCTTCTGCCACTAAATAGCAGATGTGTGCTGCAGTAATCTGAAACACAACTGATGTCAGATTTAGGGAGAAAAAGTGCACACGTAAAGGAAAGTAGTTAAATGTAACAATATCATACCTCACTCCTATCCTTCCATAAGCAATCTCCAAGATGTATAATAACCAGTTCATCATCTTTTGTTCTGTTTGCAGTTATCACAGCCAAATTCTCCTCCCAGTCATCAAGCATTTTATTTGCACCAAACTATTGTTGCACAAAAAAAAAAAAAAAAAAAAAAAGAGAAAAAAAAAAGAAAAACTCATTTTAATGCACTGGTACTGCTAAAAACGGTACAAGAAGTGCAATTAGAGAAAATCTTATTCTACTTGTACTACCAACGCCGGCCCTACACGTAAAGTTACATTCCAAACTTATCAGTGTCCCTAAATGAACTCCACTACATGTATAGCTATGAGAAGCAACATCAACCGATCCAAGAAACAATTCACTCTGATCTTCTAGCTTCTGTCCTTTATAGGAACCTCCTCTCTTGCTTTTGTAAGCTTCCTCTTTTTTTCTCGTTGCTATCAAAACTAGCTACATAATTTACTTTTTCTCTTCCATTTCCTTTTCAAAGAGGAACCAAGCCTATCCCAATAGGCAGTTTTAAAATACATCTCACCTGTGCAAGCTGTTGAGATGTATTAGCAGCGCCTGGAAGATTGACCTCAGCTGTAGTGTCAGCAGAGAATACTTCAGCAGGTTGCCCTGCAATTAGCAGGCATAAAGTCCGCAAAGGTGATCCTGCAACCAGCTGGCGAAGTGCCATTTGCTTCACAGTATCAACATAGAACTGAAGTCGTCCCAAGCCGCCATCCCCACCGGAGGAATAGAGAGAAAAAAAGGTGAGAAGAGTGCACTTCAGTATAAACTGTCAATGTACCTCAAGAGAGTAAACATCTGATTGAGTCTCTGGATATAACATCAATGGTCTACAAACCTGTTCTCCAAGCTGTGAAGCAATAACAAGCGCAGGTCCCCACAACTGACCTTCTTGTGCACATTGTAAACCCTCTTTCTTTCTACCAGAAACCAGAAGATTTTGTACCTCAGAAGCAGTTGCCTAGGACACAACCACACCTATTAAAAATGAAAAAATTGATAATGTAGAGAGAAGGGGAGAGAGTTATCAGAGTAACTTATTCCATACTCGCAATTGTCCTTCTGAAGGCGTTTTCTGCACACAGTGGCTAACAGAGCCATAATCACTGAATTGCACATTATTGCTCTTTGCAGATGCAAAAAGTTTAGCAACTGCTGATTCTGGAGTATCATTTTCCTATCAAAAGAAAAAGACCAAGAGTATACCAGACAAATATTAGTTATTTCTCTAATAATTCAAGGAGAATCACATAAAAGAGGAACATTATCTACAAATCCCTGTATATAACAATTTTAAAAGCCTTTCACTTTACATAAGTGCACTATGCCTCCAAAAGTGGTGCTCTTAGTGCTTAAGCTCTGACAGAATACAAAATTACTATTCCCATCACAACTTTCCTAATAACTTAAAGCATCACGAAGAATGTAACCTTTCAAAGAAAGGCAGCATGGTGAGAGGCGCTGCAGACAGTTTATCATATACTATGCTTCCTTTAGGATTATAGAGAGTACACTATCACAATAATGCAGTGGATAATGACATGACAAGCTTCCCTAGTTACACCAGACATAAACATTACATCTACCAGTAAAAATACTTATGCAGAAAATTGCAGTATAAATGTAAATAAACAATACAGAATACAAAAGTTGCTCACATGATACACAAGATGAAAAGACAGGATTGTGATTTACCCTTGATACAGTGTCGGTACCAAAAGGATATCGAAGTTTTCCGTAATGTTGACAAGCTATCCTAAGCAAAGAAAGAAGCAACCTCAATACTTTGCCTTTCCTATAGTCCATGTCTGGCGATTCACAGTTAGCAATCCTCTCATCAATCCATTTATTCAGCTCTTTGCTTCCAACACTCCCTCCAACCAAGGGACCTGGGAATGATTGTTGGCACAAAGCACGAAAATAATCACAAGTACTCATTCCAAAACTCGAAGGATCAGTCTTTCCCGTGAAAACTTCCATTAAGTTCAGGACAGAAACTGAGCCTCCTACAGGATCCTTCATATAACAATACAACATGCATAATTAGGCTTTTCACTTAACAATGTAAACAAGTCTTAGAGAATGCAAGTGGTTTTGGGACCAAACATAATCAAGTCAGTACCTATTACAGACTATCAATGAAGAGAAGAATTATTTCTAATTTATATTTCTGTTTCAGGAAATCGGTGACAAATTAAAAAACTACCTAAAAAGATAAAGCTTTTATTTCCTTCTATCAGCCTTTTGTCAACCAAATGGAGCCTTAATTTACCTTAAAGAGAGAAGGTTCCAAGTCCTCACCTGGGTTCCATATGACGGATTCCTGAGGCTACTATTGTCCTTCATTAAAATGAGTTTTCCACCAAATCCAAAAGTTACTAGGGCATGCGGAGGGCGCCCAGCAGATGATCTTCCTACGCTGGGAGCATATGAAAACTGATTGCCACTCTGGAAAGGTGGTTGTGAATAATTTACAGGTTGCTGTGAGTAACTTAAAGGTTTCTGAGCGCCATAGTAATCATCTGAGAATTGTATTTGTTCGCTCATCTTTGCATTTCCTTGATTAAACTGCTGGCTAAAGTTCCCAGCCGGGATGAAACTCTGGAAACCAACAGTCTCTTTAGCTGAACCATGACCTTGACTTGCTTTGTTGTACAAAGGAACTGCTCCAAAAGAATTTAAAGACATGTGCTGATCCGTGTTAACTGTAGAACCAAACGAATTACTCTGTTTCTGGTTTCCACTAAAACCTGAAAACCCCTCACTTTTAGCTGCAGTTTGAGCTTGCCACATATTTGAAGCGTGCTGATTGTACTTACTGTAGGACCCAACCCACTTGCTGTCTTGACCTTGGTTCCCGACGACCGCTTGTGGCCCATAATTCTCATCTTGCCTGTACTCTTGACCATACATACTATTTCCATTCTGGGACTGAGCAGTCGATTGCACAGAGGAGCTATATGCTTCCAATGAGCGCCATTCTTGGGCAATTGTGTCATAATACCAACCTGGGTATTCGGGATTGAAAACCATATGTTCCGGGTACCCATTTGTCATCTGTGAAACCTGATCCCAGTTTGACAAACTGCCAGTCGTGCTGGTTTCAGTCACAGTTCCGGCAGCAGACTGTGCTGTCTGCTGAAAATAAGAAACCTCAGTCTTATTACCATCAGAAACAGTGGTCCAATCATCAGTGCCAACGCTCCCTTGAGCATTTGCAGGCACATCGAAACTGTCCACCTGATACCATTGCCCCATGTTAGCGTCATACTTCCACCCTGGATAGAGACTTTCCCAATACTCTGTACTGTTTTGATCCTGCTCACTTCCCCCATAAACTTGACCCTCTTGACATTGCTCGTTACTAACCAAATGGTTCAAACCCTCTTGATGGGCTGTTTGATCTTCATTATTGAGTACAGTTTTCGATTCAGTACTCAAACTTCCGTCTACTTTCATGGGAAAATCCCCCGAACCATCCCCCAATTCACTGAAAAAATCTGAGTACGATCCAAACCCATGGATCCCATTATCCGCAGAATCGGCATAAAAAGAACCCCACCCTATCTCCTTAACCCCTGAAGCTCCCGACTCGTTGCTCTTGCTCACTGTCGAATCCAACCTCAACTGGGATCTCACTGCCTCCGCCCCATTATTCGACTCGATCACTGCATCATTATCAACCGCATTATTCGACTCAATTACACTATCAAACACGAATGAATTAGATTCTTCTGCACCCTTTTCCTCTTTCGTTTGGGGTTTGGCAGCCGAATCCTCAGATACAGCTGCAGAATCACCAACATTAGGATTTACGAACCGCTTATTTTCGTCAGTAGTTTTGGTTTCGTGGTCCGAATCCTCAGATACAGCTACAGAGCTACCAATACTCAGATTGGCGAACGCCTTACCGTCATCGGAATCATTTCCCTGGCCATATTCGGGGCCTGATTCGGAGGGCCTCAGATCATCTTCAACCAATTTATCAAAGAAATCCTCGTCCGTCAGATCCTCCACCTGAAATGGAGGATGATTTGAAGCCATCGACCAAATCCCACACTCAAATTCACCCTTCAAATCTCTCCAAAATCCTCGAAATTGGAGCTCCGAATCAACGAAAAGCCCGAGATCCACAGCCAAAACGCGCGAAAACCAACCTCAAAAATCACAAATCCAAGGATGCAACCCCAACGCGCACACAACTCACCCCCGAAATGACAGAGATCTAGGGTTTCTGAGATCCCTGCAAATTCTACAGTGCAAATCAAGCAAAAACAAGATCGCTAATTTTTTTTTTTTTTTTTTTTTTTTTTTGCTTGAATTCAACGCATTGCGTTAGAACGACAGAAAACTGTAGATTGAAATAAATAAACTAAAAATATAACTTACAGAACGATGGAATTTCAGAAAGAAAATCCAACAGATAGAAAAGAGGGAAAGAAATGTTTGCGTTGGAGAGAGAGAAGAGTGAGAGTCTGATTGCAGAGGAAAGCCCTCCATTTCGCACCCCCTGCCCACCAAGTCGAAGGGACAAGGATTGTGTGCTCTCTAGTTTTGCATGGCACTTAAGTTATATTAATATTTTATATTATTTTTTATAGATATAATAAGATAAAAATAAATAGTAATATAAAATGTTGATATGATTTAATCTTGACCACACAAACAGGAGGGCACAAGGATGACACCGGAAGTGGAGGGCAGATAATCCTTGTCCAAGTCCAAGAGCTTCGCTATTATAATTTTAGCATTTTTTAAATATTTTTTTATAGTAATTTTTTATAAAATTAATAGAACCGTTGTCAATCAAAATTTCGAAAAATTACAGTTTTAACATTTTAATTAAAACTGAACAAAAATAAAAATTATGAACAATTTAGTAACTATAAGAACACAAAATTGTTGTTTTTAAGCTCACACGCATGTGATTATAACATCTCTAATTTAAAAATAAATAAATAAACCTCTCTCTACTCTCGTTCTTTCTCAATCTCTTCCTTTCTCCTTTCACTTTAAAAACAAAAACAAAAAATGTTCACACTGTGTGTGTGGGCATACGCTAGTTTCGTGAGGCTTTGAGGTATCCCTCAATGAAGCAAAAAACTATAATCTTGCACACCTTTTTTATTTTCATGTTCAGCTTTTATATTTGAATTTAGACGATGCGTTTCAGTATCCATTTAGGTCAATTACACACATGTTTCACACATCTCCTACGCTTGACACCTCGCCCGATTATGTGGATTTAGTTGCAATGTCAAATTTTTTGTTCTATTTTTTACATTTGGGTTCAAATTGCATTGCAGTAACTAATTTTGGTTTATCTTCTACATTTGGATTAAAACTTTGTGGATTCATATACTACGTTACAGTGTCTTTTTCTGGTTATACTTTTACATTTGAATTCATACTCAGCTAAAGTGTCTGTTTTTGGTCTACTTTGACATTTAGATTCAGACTTTGCAATATTAATTTTATTTTCATGTATGTCGTTGATGATTCTAGAAGAAATCGTGACAATCACGATGTTGTAGTCGTTGATCAATTGAGCCATTAGGATTTGGTGTTACTTGTTGTCACTAATAACCTCTTTATTTTTCATCGACAAGGAAGATAGGAGAAAAGGGAGGACAAATGAATGGTAGAGAGTGTTGTGTTTCTTTCAAGTGCAAATATAAGGATAGTATAATGACACAAGTAAAGGTGTCAAACCATAGGGACTGATTAGACATCTACAAATTACTAGCTTTATGTGAACCCTAACTAAAAAAAAGGTCGTACCCAGTGCACAAGGCTCCCGCTGTACGCAGGGTCTGGGAGAGGTGAATGTCGGCTAGCCTTACCCCCATTTATGGAGAGGCTGCTCCCAAGTCTCGAACCCGAGACCTACCGCTCATGGGCGAAGGCACTTACCCCCATTTATGGAGAGGCTGCTCCCAAGTTCCTAACTAAACAATGAAAATGCAAATTGGATTTAGATTTTTCAACTGAAAGCTTAAATAACTTAAAAATGCAGAAAGATAAAGATAAATGATAGGTTGATTAAGAAATAATGGGAATGAAGCTATGGATACCGATTTCACCATTACAAGCCAATTCCATGAAAATTAAGTCAAAACGCATTCAACTCTCCAATATGCAAGTAGGGTTCATTTACTTACTTATGATCATCCATTTGATGTGTGGTTGTGATCAAGTACTCATAATCTGCAACCTAGTTGTGATGTTCAACTTAGATTACCAAATAAGAATCCGTTAAGAACAAGAAAACTTCAAAGAACCAAAGAAATCACATGGCAGGATGTATGCATAGCAGTTTATTCACTCATTCACATGTCCACCAAGATTAAGCATGATGTGTACTATAACCTTGTGTTGGAAATGTGCCCTAAAACCAATCATATGATGATACTTTACGGACATTTCACATGTTAAACTAATCTAGTTTAATATCAAGGGCATAGATTATTGTTTTAAGCCGTCTCATATAAATGTTATATGCTTAAACGATGAGTCCAAAGAATATGTAATTAGGAGAATGTAATTTAAAGAAGTTAGATTCATGAGACCATTCTCTTTCGTATACATATCCTAAACATTCCTGATCATAGGATTGCCAATTGGGCATTGACAGTCCGTTAAGATCAGTATGTGCTAACTTAGTGAGAGTGACTGGTCTCGAGTCATTGGTGTGACTGACACCAAGACAAGTACGTAGGTGCTCAATAAGGAATGAGTTCACTGAACACGATCAACGAAGAGTTCTCATACTCATGTCACATGAGAACTCATGGTTGGGATAATGCAAAGTAGTCATTTGACCTGAGGCATCATAGTTGTCTTGTGGTTAGGTCCTTGATCCTTTGATTATGTCAAAGTCACTCCATTCGCGGGTGTCCACGGCATAGTTGGGGTTAAGCCACTTAGCCATGGAGGCAAGTGAATGCGCAACAAGGGATCTCTAACCTTCAAACCGTTTGAGGGAGAATACTCTATGATATGATTAAGAATCTCTGGCCAGAGTATGAATGAGATTTAGGAAGTCGTCCAAATCACATTTAAGATAATCATATAAGTAAATGAATCACATTGGATAATAGACATGAATAAAATATCAAACCAAACAATGTGGTCAAGAGTATTGTATTAGAGAAAGACCGTATTGCATTGTAATCCTAAACTGAATAGGTTCTCCACCTCTTCTGATTACCTTGGGTAACCATGATATGCTGCTAGGTGTCACTCATGGTTTGTGGAAGCCCTAAATGTGTATAAACACTAAAGGGAGAATTGAAAGTAAGTTTCAATTCACATCGATTTGAAAGAGTTTTAATCGCCCACTGCCTCGCTAAAAGGAACCTAATGGATCGTACACCGTGTAAGGTAGAGATTGAAGAAACAACGGAGATGAGTAAGAATAATTAAATGGTTTAATTATTTATGGCAAGGATTAATTAATATGTTAATTAATCAAACGAATAAGTTCGTTAAAAACCTCGGAATAGTATTGGACCTTAAGGCCCAATGGGCTTTGAACGTCAAGTCCATTGACTTAAGTTGTATGACAACTTAATGAATAATGATTCACAAAGGCCCAAATAGCCCAATAATACCCTAAGGCCGGCCATTTAGAGGGAGGGAACTTGCTTTAATTACAAGTTTGCCACTCCAATGAATAAAGGTATAAATATGACTTTATAGCCAAAATTCATTTAGGGTTTTTTGAGGAAATTGGAGAGAACACAAAGCTCTCTTTTCTCTCTAAAGAGGCCGGCCACCCTTGGAGGGATTAGCTATTAATCTTTCTCCTCCAAGGTCACTCATCTTTTCTTCACATCTTACCTTGGTGTGGAGTGATGTGAAAATTAACTAGCACTCAAATTAACCCTCTTTTTATCAATTGTAGTAAGTATGTAAGTAGGGATCGTTCTAGGCCGGGGATTAGGAGGGATTGCAAAATCACTTGAAAACTAACTCAAATACGTAAAAACAAGTTTAAAACACTAAACTAGACTCAAAGAATGCAAAACTAAACTTTAAAACACTAAAACAAACCAAAAGACTCAAAACTGCCCCAAAACACTCAAAACTGCCTTAAAAACACAATCTGGGCAGTTTTGAACACTAGACACAAACTTGGACGAAAATTGGTTTTAACTTGACCTAAGACACTTAAAAACACAAACTAACTTGACTTCTAACTAATATGACTCAACAAAGAAAAGGGGGATTGATTTTGGACGAATTTGAAAACAAAACAAACTTTGTAAACTAGACAGATTTTAAAAACGAATTTGATTTAAATGAATGGATGGAAGGCTAGCTAAGGGGTTCATCTCCACACATGTTAATTAGGTCCGCTTAAATTAACCTTCAGATTTTCCTAACGTTATTGAATTGGATGATTGCATACGACAACCCAAAGCATTCCCCACAAGTCCCCTACATGATTGCATAATAGAGATACAAGCAAGAATCATTAAGTTCTATGAAAACCACAAGCATTGACGAAGCACTTGTTACTATGATTGCATGAAACTTATGCCAAGAATTTACTTAACGCGATTGAGACCATCAACCTTTACTACTTATGAATATAAGTCCATAACGATTAGGTGAAATTTCCTTATATCCTAGCATCAAATTCATGCATGCAAATTAAGTGTCGACCCTCAACCAACATACACAAATCAATTTTAATTCTTGTAGATAAGTAAATTGAATTCACAACTTATGAAACGCAATTAGAAGTAATCAAATCATATAGCAAGCATAAACATGGTTTCGAATCCCCCCCTAGCCAAGGGGGGGTTTAGTTCCTCATACTCGCAAAGCAAAGATACATAAATTTAGAAATTAAAATCAAAGGAAAAGAAACACCTAGAAATTCCAGCGACGCGAACTTGAATTGCATGAACTTCCGAGCTTCCTTCTCCTCCTCCTTGGTGCGGCAAAGGGTCTAGGGACAGGTTTAGGACCTTAGGTGTATGGATGCATGGTTATGGATGAATGTAGTAGTGTTTAGGGGATGGGGATGGTGCGGCAAGGCTTAAAAACTAGGGAGAAAGGTGTTTGGTGGCTGCGGCAAAGGTGTGGAGAGGGTTGGACGAATTTCTGGAGTGAATTGTGAATTGTGGTGAGTGGTGATTCGGCCAAAGGGTGAAAACAAGTATATATAGGCCCCAAAAACCCTAGCAAATCAGATTAGGACTTGTATAATTAAATCCCATCAGGAAAAGGCTTAAAACAACCAGAAATTGAATGGAAAAAGGCCTCCTAGGTGCGGCTGGATAGGGATAAGGTGGATAAGGCTTCTAGAAAGCTTTGCAAGGCAAGGAAATCAGATTTCTAGAAGCTAGGGTGCGGCACATTTGTAGGGATTAGGGATAGGGCTTCTAGAAAGCCCCAAAACTGATAGGAAATGTAGGAACTCACGGCAAGGAAGACAACTCTCTAGAAACTTCTCATTTGTGTCCTACAACACTTAGGAGTCCTTCTAGCATTAGGAAAACATGTCTCAATCCTCCCTTGACTTGGAATTCTTCTCCT